TTAAAGTTTGGGGCTGCGATGCTTATGTGAAAAAGCTTCAACCTGATAAGCTCGAACCCAAGTCGGAGAAATGTGTCTTCATAGGATATCCAAAGGAAACTATTGGATACACCTTCTATCACAGATCCGAAGGCTAGACTTTTATTGCCAAATTCGGAAACTTTCTAGAAAAGGAGTTTCTCTCGAAATAAGTGAGTGGGAGGAAAGTAGAACTTGACGAGGTAACTATACCTGCTCCCTTATTGGAAAATAGTACATCACAGAAAACTGTTTCTGCGACACCTATACCAATCAGTGAGGAAGCTAATGATGATGATCATGAAGCTTCAGAACAAGATACTACTGAACCACGTAGATCAACCAGAGTGAGATCCGCACCAGAGTGGTACGGTAATCCAGTTCTGGAAGTCATGATACTAGATCATGATGAACCTACGAACTATGAAGAAGCGATGGTGAGCCCAGATTCCGCAAAGTGGCTTGAAGCCATGAAATCTGAGATGGGATCCATGTATGAAAACAAAGTATGGACTTTGGTTGACTTGCCCGATGATCGGCAAGCAATTGAGAATAAATGGATCTTCAAGAAAAAGACTGACGCTGACGGTAAAATTACTGTCTATAAAGCTCGACTTGTCGCGAAAGGTTTTCGACAAGTTCAAGGGGTTGACTACGATGAGACCTTCTCACCCGTAGTGATGCTTAAGTCCGTCAGAATTATGTTAGCAATTGTCGCATTTTATGATTATGAAATATGGCAGATGGATGTCAAAACTGCATTCCTGAATGGATTTCTGGAAGAAGAGTTGTATATGATACAACCAGAAGGTTTTGTTGATCCAAAGGGAGCTAACAAAGTATGCAAACTCCAGCGATCCATTTATGGACTGGTGCAAGCATCTCGGAGTTGGAATAAACGCTTTGATAGTGTGATCAAAGCATTTGGCTTTATACAGACTTTTGGAGAAGCCTGTATTTACAAGAAAGTGAGTGGGAGCTCTGTAGCATTTCTAATATTATATGTGGATGACATATTGCTGATTGGAAATGATATAGAATTTCTGGATAGCATAAAGGGATACTTGAATAAAAGTTTTTCGATGAAAGACCTCGGGGAAGCTGCTTACATATTAGGCATAAAGATCTATAGAGATAGATCAAAACGCTTAATTGGACTTTCACAGAGCACATACCTTGACAAAATTTTGAAGAAGTTCAAAATGGATCAAGCAAAGAAAGGGTTCTTGCCTGTGTTACAAGGTGTGAAGTTGAGTCAGACTCAATGCCCGACCACTGCAGAAGATAGAGAGAAAATGAAAGATGTTCCCTATGCTTCAGCCATAGGCTCTATCATGTATGCAATGCTGTGTACCAGACCTGATGTGTGCCTTGCTATAAGTTTAGCAGGGAGGTACCAAAGTAATCCAGGAATGGATCACTGGACAACGGTCAAGAACATCCTGAAATACCTGAAAAGGACTAAGGATATGTTTCTCGTATATGGAGGTGACAAAGAGCTCACCGTAAGAGGTTACGTTGATGCAAGCTTTGACACTGATCCGGACGATTCTAAATCGCAAACCGGATACGTGTTTACTTTAAACGGTGGAGCTGTCAGTTGGTGCAGTTCTAAACAAAGCGTCGTAGCAGGATCTACATGTGAAGCGGAGTACATAGCTGCTTCGGAAGCAGCAAACGAAGGAGTCTGGATGAAGGAGTTCATATCCGATCTAGGTGTCATACCTAGTGCATCGGGTCCAATGAAAATCTTCTGTGACAATACTAGTGCAATTGCCTTGGCAAAGGAATCCAGATTTTACAAAAGGACCAAACACATCAAGAGACGCTTCAACTCCATCCGGGATCTAGTCCAGGTGGGAGACATAGAGATTTGCAAGATACATACGGATCTGAACGTTGCAGACCCGTTGACTAAGCCTCTTCCACGAGCAAAACATGATCAGCACCAAGGCTCCATGGGTGTTAGAATCATTACAGTGTAATCTAGATTATTGACTCTAGTGCAAGTGGGAGACTGAAGGAAATATGCCCTAGAGGCAATAATAAAGTTATTATTTATTTCCTTATATCATGATAAATGTTTATTATTCATGCTAGAATTGTATTAACCGGAAACATAATACATGTGTGAATACATAGACCAACAGAGTGTCACTAGTATGCCTCTACTTGACTAGCTCGTTAATCAAAGATGGTTATGTTTCCTAACCATGAACAAAGAGTTGTTATTTGATTAACGAGGTCACATCATTAGTTGAATGATCTGATTGACATGACCCATTCCATTAGCTTAGCACCCGATCGTTTAGTATGTTGCTATTGCTTTCTTCATGACTTATACATGTTCCTATAACTATGAGATTATGCAACTCCCATTTACCGGAGGAACACTTTGGGTACTACCAAACGTCACAACGTAACTGGGTGATTATAAAGGAGTACTACAGGTGTCTCCAATGGTAGATGTTGGGTTGGCGTATTTCGAGATTAGGGTTTTCACTCCGATTGTCGGAGAGGTATCTTTGGGCCCTCTCGGTAATGCACATCATATAAGCCTTGCAAGCACTGCAACTAATATGTTAGTTGTGAGATGATGTATTACGGAACGAGTAAAGAGACTTGCCGGTAACGAGATTGAACTAGGTATTGGATACCGACGATCGAATCTCGGGCAAGTAACATACCGATGACAAAGGGAACAACGTATGTTGTTATGCGGTCTGACCGATAAAAGATCTTCGTAGAATATGTAGGAGCCAATATGGGCATCCAGGTCCCGCTATTGGTTATTGACCGGAGACGTGTCTCGGTCATGTCTACATTGTTCTCGAACCGTAGGGTCCGCACGCTTAACGTTACGATGACAGTTATTATGAGTTTATGCATTTTGATGTACCGAAGGTTGTTCGGAGTCCCGGATGAGATCACGGACATGACGAGGAGTCTCAAAATGGTCGAGACGTAAAGATTGATATATTGGAAGCCTATGTTTGGACATAGGAAGTGTTCCGGGTGAAATCGGGATTTTACCGGAATACCGGGAGGGTTACCGGAACCCCCCGGGAGACTAATGGGCCTATTGGGCCTTAGTGGAAAAGAGAAAAGGGGCAGCCCACAGCCTAGCCGCGCGCCCCCCCTTCCCCAAGTCCTAGTAGGACTAGGAGAAGGGGCCGGCCCCCCTCTCTCTCCTTTCCCCCTTGAGAGTCCTAGTTGGAATAGGACTCCCCCTGCGCCTCCCTCTCTCTGGCCGGCCGGCCCCCCTCCTCCAACCTTTATATACGGGGGCAGGGGACACCCCAAGACACACAAGTTGATCCTTGAGATCGTTCCTTAGCCGTGTGCGGTGCCCCCTGCCACCATATTCCACCTCGATCATACCGTTGTAGTGCTTAGGCGAAGCCCTGCGTCGGTAGTACATCAAGATCGTCATCACGCCGTCGTGCTGACGGAACTCTTCCTCGACGCTTTGCTGGATCGGAGCCCGAGGATCGTCATCGAGCTGAACGTGTGCTAAGAACTCGGAGGTGCCGGAGTAACGGTGCTTGGATCGGTCGGATCGTGAAGAAGACGTACGACTACTTCCTCTACGTTGTGTGATCGCTTCCGCAGTCGGTCTGCGTTGGTACGTAGACAACACTCTCCCCTCTCGTTGCTGTGCATCACCATGATCTTGCGTGTGCGTAGGAAAATTTTCGAAATTACTACGTTCCCCAACAGCAGATGTGGCTCAACAGACTCTCTTTCCATGCCCCCTTTCTATCTTATCCGAGAGATATCCACCGCCCATTGTAAGCTCCCTTCCGAAGTCGGTGGCAAGGATTTGATCTGATGCACAAATGGAAGTGATGGGTGGGAAAAGCAATAAGGCCATGACGACCATGGGACGCAATCATTCATTCATCGCCCCTTTCTTCCCCAGCAACGAGTACCCTAGCAGCAAAAGAAGCCACGGCCAAACCATGAGACCATTGTTGCATGACACTAGGGGTGTCGTCGTTGTGTGGACGAGGGTGGATGATAATGACACACCTAGAGCTTGACCGTGGGGCTGGGGTGCCAACCTTATCACTCACAATATAACCATAAAAAATGTTAGTTTATCATATGAACCATATAATACACATAGGATTAGACTAACCACTACCAGATAATTTTTTTTTTGCATTTTTTGAGGGGGTGCCGGCCACCCTCGCTAGACCCGCCACAGGTGAAGGACGAGGGTTGGCTCTAGGGCTCAGGGAGCTCGCGACCCGTAGGATGAGTTGATGAAATCAACGATGAGCCGCACTCGCGCGCCTCTTGCGCTCCCCTGGCACCACGCCGATCGCAACATTTATACTGCATCAGTGAATAGGAGGACGCCTAAATCGGTCTTTGGATCAGAATCACATTAACGTTTGGGCCAGCCAAAACGCTCGGGGTGGGAGCACTAGAAAAGGTCGCGGGACACGGCGAGATGACAGAACGATCCAGATCGCTGAGTGGGCTACTTGGACGGCGGAGAGTGTCAAAATCGCCGTGGAGGCTCGTAGGTAGTTGAGTCTTGCTGTGTTTAATACTACTAGCTTAGATGTGCAACTCATCAAAGTATTCTCTTCATGTGTTCTTCTTTAATCTCCTCATCACCATTAAAAGAAAACAGATAACGGTCGTTAATGGGCCATGTTAGCCGGGCCAGCTGCTCGCTGCCTACCCATTTCGCCGGCACGCGGGTCCCACTCGTCAGCCAGCAGCAGGATCCCGTCCCCGCAATCCCGTTTCTCGCTTCCCCTCCAAGAAGAAGAAGAAAGCCGGCGACGAGCGAGTCAAGAGTCAAATCTCTCTCCGCGGCACCAACCACCTCCCCCACCCCCCCCTCCCGCCGCATCCCAAATCGGCAGCGACCAAATCCCCCCAGCCCCAGCCCCCGCCCCAAACCCTAGCGCGCCAATGCCCCGCTAGCCAGCCCCCTCCCACCCGACCCGATCGCCGGGGCGGCCATGGATCCGGGCGGGGCGACGCTGCTGGAGGACTTCGGGCAGCGGGTGGACCTGACGCGGCGCATCCGCGAGGTGCTGGCCAACTACCCGGAGGGCACCACCGCGCTGCGGGAGCTCATCCAGAACGCCGACGACGCCGGGGCCTCGCGGGTCCGCCTCTGCCTCGACCGCCGCGCCCACGGGGCCCGCTCGCTGCTCGCCCCGGCCCTCGCGCAGTGGCAGGGCCCCGCCCTGCTCGCCCACAACGACGCCGCCTTCACCGACGACGACTTCGCCAGCATCTCCCGCATCGGCGGCAGCAAGAAGGCCTCCCAGGCCTGGAAGACCGGCCGCTTCGGGTATGTGCGCTCCCTGCCCCCTGTCCCTCTCTCTCTCTCTCCCTCAGTAGTCGCCCCCGCCGAGCTCTGCTCCGAGCTGCCAATTGCAATCTGAGCTTCCCGACTATTGGGATTGAACCAGTGCGTGTTCATTTTCTAGTGGTGCTGTCACCTATGAATGCTGCTGCTGCTGTTTTGTGTTCTGACGCCATGACCGTCTCAATGTGCTCCATGATCGTGATCACTAATGATTGTAAGCGAATGCTTCAAAATGCTTAGTATGGATAATGTCATGCCCCTGCACAAGTTCCTTTGCCATGTGATTAAGTTCAGTTTGGTTGCTGCCCTTGTTACTCATTTTGTTATGTTTGCCTTTCTATCTGAACTGAAGCACAGAGGGATGCAAATGTTTTATTATACTCCCTCCGTTCCTAAATATTTGTCTTTCTAGACATTTCAAATGACTACTACATACGGATGTATGTAGACATATTTTAGAGTGTAGATTCAGTCATTTTGCTCTGTATGTAGTCATTTGTTGAAATGCCTAGAAAGACAAGTATTTAGGAACGGAGGGAGTACATACTAGTTCTAGAAACCAGGGCCATGCTTTTAGTAAGTTGTTATCTAAATCTTCTGAAGCATGTTATTCGATCTGTTTTAGTAATGCTCATGCACCCCCGTAGTAACCCATGGTTTACGTTTCTGCAGCATTGGTTTCAACTCGGTGTACCACTTGACCGACTTGCCATCATTCGTGAGCGGCAAGTATGTTGTCATGTTTGATCCTCAGGGCGCTTACCTTCCAAATGTGTCGGCGGCAAATCCTGGAAAGCGCATAGACTATGTCAGTTCCACGGCACTTACATTGTACAGTGATCAGCTCTCGCCCTATCGTGCATTTGGCTGCGATATGAAAGCGCCATTTCAAGGAACCTTGTTCCGTTTCCCTTTGCGGAATGCTGAGCAAGCATCCTCTAGCCGGCTATCAAGACAAGTGTACACAGAGGATGATATCTTATCTCTTTTCGCTCAACTGTACGAAGAAGCTGTATACAACTTGCTTTTTCTTAAAAATGTCCTCGCACTTGAAATGTATGTGTGGGAACCTGATATGGGTGAGCCAAAAATAGTATACTCTTGCGCCTTACGATCACATGATGACAAATTGTCATGGCATCGCCAAGCTCTAATCAGGTTCTCTGGCACTTCTGCTGAATCTGTTGAGCAGAAGATAGATTCCTTTTCTATGGATTTTGTATCGGAGGCATTCCTGGGGAACAAGTTTGAGAAAAAGAGCCATACCTATTTTATTGTACAGGGAATGGCATCTGCATTAAGTAAAATAGGTATTTTTGCAACTGGTGCTGCCAAGGAATATGATCTTCACCTACTGCCCTGGGCTTCTGTTGCTGCTTGCATCTCCAAAGTGGAGCCTGAGGTAATTCTCGATTCATTTTCAGTTTACCAGCCTAGACTAGCTATGCTCCTGTAGCTATGTAGAAATTGCTTTTTGTTCAGTTTACAAACCATGGACATATTTTTTTCTCTTTGACATGTTTCCTGCTTTTGATTGACTCGTGACCATAATAGTTGTTATCAATGCATGCCTTGTTAATGGAATGGAACTTGTGAATGTGATTGTGTGAACTGTAAAGCTTGTTAGTTTCCATCTGATTTTGCACTTAAACTATTAAGATGGGTGCGTGACCACAACTCATAGAATTGCATGCATTTTTTTGGCCTATTAGCTGTGGCTAATGTAGTGACCATTTCTTTCATTGGTATGCTCTTCGGTAGTTCGGTGGCAACAGCTGGGCCCAAACTGTTGTTATCTGCTGTTGCTTCATTGCAAAAAGTAAATAAAAAGAAATTACATCAACGACAATGCCCTTATGTAAAAGAGTGGTTCTATATAATCTGTAGTTCTTTTTGTTTTATGTTCAGTGATGAAGTCTGCACCTGTACACTTCAATGATGAGACATAGTTCCTAGAACTGCAAATAATTTGTTTGATTTATGTTGCAAAATGAACATCATGTTCTGGCACTGTAGCACATTTTCCTAATGCTTGGCGCATTATTCCAGTATTTTGGTTTTTTGCTTCATAGTGTTTTCCCTGTTTTTACGCTTTATGGCAATTACTGAATTTTACAGGATATTAATCTCAGACAAGGTCATGCATTCTGTTTTCTTCCTTTGCCAGTAAGGACCGGACTATCTGTGCATGTGAATGGTTATTTTGAAGTTTCGTCCAATCGACGTGACATTTGGTATGGAGCTGACATGGACAGGGGTGGTAAGCTCCGTTCTGATTGGAACAGGCTACTGCTGGAAGATGCTGTTGCTCCATTGTTCAGAGAACTGTTGCTGGCGTTGCGGACACTTACAGACTCCACAATACTGTATTATTCTTTATGGCCAACTGGTTTATTTGAGGAACCCTGGAGTATTCTTGTGGAACAAATTTACAAAGTTATCTATACCTCTCCAGTTTTGCATTCAGAGATCAAAGGTGGGACATGGGTATCACCGGCTGAGGCTTTGCTTCATGATGAGGGCTTTTCAAGAAGTAATGATCTTAGTGAAGCTCTTGTATTGTTAGGCATGCCTGTTGTTCGTGTACCAAGTGCAATTGTTGATGTGTTTTCGAAATTCTATATGAAGTCTACGGTAAAACGAGTTGCTCCTGCTGCAGTGAGGCATTTCCTCCAAGATTTTGTAAAGCTTGGTACATTAGGAAAATCTCATAAGCTAATATTACTGGAATATTGCCTTAGTGATCTGGACAGTGCTGATATTGGTAAATGCATGAATGGCCTCCCACTGATTCCACTAGCAAATAAGCAGTATGGGATTTTTTCTGAGATTTCACAAGAGAGCACCTACTATGTCTGTGATAAGACAGAATATGACCTCCTTTCTGCAGTTGGTGACAGAATAATTGACCGAAGCATTCCCCCTGTATTACTAGACAAGCTGTATCAGATAGCCAATAACTCTCAGGTGAATATTTCACCCATTGATGGTCCAATCTTTCTTCAATTCTTCCCCAGGCTATTTCCTCCTGGATGGAAGTGTAAAAGCCGAGTTCCTTGGGATCCATCATCGGGTGTGTCATCTCCTACGGCAGATTGGTTTAAACTTTTTTGGCACTATATTGGGGAACATTCTTATGACCTTGATTTGTTTAGTGACTGGCCTATACTGCCTTGTACTTCTGGACACCTTTACAGAGCATCTACAGCATCAAAGTTAATTGAAACAGAGTCACTATCTAGTTTGATGAAGGAACTTTTGGCCAAGTTAGGTTGCAAGATATTAGACACCAAGTATTTACGTGTGTATCAACAGCTTTCTCATTATGTATATGATGGTGATGCAACTGGAGTTCTTAATTCAATCTTTGGGATTGCCTCGCTGGAGGGAGTCGATGTGCATGCACTGTTTCAACGCATCAAGCCTGGTGAGAAAATTGAGCTGTACCAGTTTCTTCTAGATCCGAAATGGTACATAGGAGTCTGCCTTTCTGACATGAACATAAAGCTATGCAAAAAGTTGCCCATCTTCAGAGTATTTGATGGAGGATCTCACAGTTCTTATGGCTTCTCAGATTTGTCCAGTTCAAAAAAGTATCTGCCACCTCTTGGTGTTCCTGAACACCTACTCAAGTCTGATTTTGTGTTTTGTATATCCCCAAGCAACGAAGATATCATAATGAGGTATTATGGTGTTGAACGTATGCCGAAATCAGTCTTCTACCAGAGGTATGTTTTGAACAAGTTAGATGAGTTGCAAGCAGAGGTTCGTGATAAAGTTATACTAGCCATCTTGCAAGATCTGCCCCAGCTGTCCTTGGAAGATCCAAGGTTCAAGGAAGGCTTGAAAGTCCTTAGATTTGTGCCGACCATTAATGGGACCTTGAAAAGTCCTCAGTCTCTTTATGATCCTCGAGTGGAAGAACTCTATGCTCTTCTCCAGGAATCAGACTGCTTTCCCAATGGTTTATTTCAAAACCCAGATGTTCTTGATATGTTACTCTGCTTGGGGCTTAGAACTTCTGTTTCTACTGACACTATTATAGAAAGTGCTCGGCAAATTGATTCATTCGTGCGCAAAGATCAAGAGAAGGCTCATTCAAGGGGTAAATTGCTTCTTTCATATCTTGAAATTCATGCTCACAAATGGAGTGTAAACAAGGCATTTGATGCCCGGAAGAAGGTGAATAATATGTTTGCGAAAGTCACTACTGCACTGAGGCCTCGTGATACGTCTTGGGAATTTGATCTCGAGAAGTTCTGGAGTGATTTGAGAATGATTTGTTGGTGTCCTGTGTTGGTCACTGCACCAAGCCCAGCCCTGCCATGGCCTTCAGTATCATCGATGATCGCTCCACCTAAGCAAGTAAGGCTGCAGGAAGATATGTGGATTGTTTCTGCTAGCTCACGTATACTTGATGGCGAATGTACTTCCTCAGCTTTGTCTTACAGCTTAGGTTGGTCATCTCCTCCTTCTGGAAGTGTAATCGCTGCTCAGTTGCTTGAGCTGGGTAAGAACAATGAAATTGTGACTGATCAAGTCCTTCGGCAAGAGTTAGCGTTGGTGATGCCTAAGATTTATTCATTACTGACTAATTTGATTGGTTCTGATGAAATGGATATTGTCAAAGTGGTTCTAGAGGGCTGCAGATGGATTTGGGTGGGCGACGGATTTGCAAAAGTTGATGAAGTTGTTCTAAGTGGCCACCTTCACCTTGCGCCTTACATTCGTGTCATTCCAATTGATTTAGCAGTTTTCAAGGACTTGTTCTTGGATCTTGGCATAAAGGAGCACCTCGACCCTGTGGATTACGCTAGTATTCTGACCAGAATGGCCATGAGGAAAGCCATGGCTTCGCTTGAAGCTGAAGAACTAAGGACAGCTGTGTTAGTGGTGCAGCATCTAGCTGAGTTCCGGTTTCAGGATCAGCAAACACAGATATATTTACCTGATTCTTCAGCTAGGCTCTGCCTATCTTCGGAACTCGTATTTAATGATGCTCCTTGGCTTCTTGACTCTGGTCATGACATCATTGGTGATGCATCCAGCATTGCTTTCAGCCCACAGAAGTATGTTCACAATTTTGTGCATGGTAATATTTCCAATGACGTGGCAGAAAGGCTAGGTGTTCGCTCCCTTCGCCGTCTCTTGCTTGCTGAGAGTTCCGATTCGATGAATTTGAGTTTATCAGGGGTTGCTGAGGCTTTTGGACAACATGAAGATTTGACTACAAGGCTCAAGCATATTGTTGAGATGTATGCAGATGGTCCTGGGATTCTCTTTGAGCTGGTACAGAATGCAGAAGATGCTAAAGCTTCTGAGGTTGTGTTTCTTTTGGATAAGACCCAGTATGGTACTTCATCCATCCTTTCACCTGAAATGGCTGAATGGCAGGGGCCTGCTCTCTACTGCTTTAATGACTCAGTTTTTAGTCCACAAGACCTTTATTCCATCTCACGAATTGGTCAAGACAGCAAACTTGAGAAACCTTTTGCAATAGGAAGGTTTGGTCTTGGCTTCAATTGTGTCTATCACTTCACAGACATGCCTGGATTTGTTTCTGGTGAGAATATTGTCATGTTTGATCCACATGCCCGTTATTTACCAGGAATATCTCCTTCTCATCCAGGTTTAAGGATAAAGTTTGTAGGACGGAAGATCTTAGAACAGTTCCCTGATCAGTTCACACCATTCTTACACTTTGGTTGCAACCTGCAACAGCCATTTCCAGGTACACTTTTCCGGTTTCCTCTTAGGAATGAAGCTGCTGCTTCTAGAAGTCAAATAAAGCGCGAACAATATGCAACCCAAGATGTGGAGATGCTTTTCTCTTCATTCTCTGAAGTTGTATCCGAGGCTCTACTTTTTCTCCGCAACGTTAAAAAGGTAACTCTGTATGTCAAGGAGCATGACTCCCAGGAGATGCAACTTGTTCATCGTGCTTTGAAGCAGAACAGTTCCGAGGTCTCCAAAGAACCACATGCACTTAATACGATGCTTGCATTTGTACATGGAAATCAATCATCAGGAATGGATAGGAATACTTTTTTCAATAGGTTGAATAAGACAAAAGACAGTGATTTACCCTGGAGTTGTCAAAAAGTTGCTATTCTTGAGCAAAGCCCTACTGTCCACTTGATGCATTCATGGATCTTAACCGAGTGTATAGGCGGGGGTCATGCTAGAAAGTTGTCAACTGCTTCTGATAGTAAATCTCATTTCTTTGTTCCCTGGGCATCAGTAGCTGCATATCTGCATTCTGTGAGTGTTGACGATACCAAAGAACTGTCTGGTGAAGCTGAAGTTAACTGTGATGATTCTGTTCCTAAGCATCTAGCTCTCCAATCTTCTCAGAGCAGGAATTTGTTTGAGGGTCGGGCCTTTTGTTTTCTTCCTCTACCAATCAACACTAGCATACCAGTGCACGTAAATGCTTATTTTGAACTATCTTCAAATCGAAGGGATATCTGGATTGGAAATGACATGGCCGGGGGAGGAAGAGTGCGATCAGAATGGAATCTTGCACTGCTGGAAGATGTGGCTGCTCCTGCTTACGGCCACCTCCTTGCAGCCATGGCAGAAGAACTTGGTCCCTCTGATCTGTTTCTCTCATTTTGGCCTACTGCTGTAGGTGCAGAGCCATGGTCTTCCATGGTGAGGAAGCTTTATGTATCAATCGCGGAACTTGGACTTAATGTTTTGTATACGAAAGCTCGAGGTGGCCATTGGGTGTCAACAAGGCAAGCTATTTTTCCTGATTTCAGTTTCTCAAAGGCAGCCGAGCTGGCAGAAGTTCTCTCGCAAGCTGGTTTGCCTTTGGTATCTGTATCCAAGCTGATAGTAGACAGTTTCATAAATGCATATCCATCAGTTCATCTCCTGAATCCTCATTTGCTAAGGAACTTGTTGATCCGACGGAAGCGTGGGTTCAAAAGCAGAGAAGAGGCCATACTTGTTCTGGAGTATTGCTTGAGTGATATCGATGATCCTTCCCTTTCTGATAAATTGCACGGATTGGCTCTTCTTCCTTTGGCAAATGGATCATTCACAACATTCAATAACCGAGGGGAGGGTGAAAGAGTATTCTTTGCTTCAGAAATGGAATTTGACTTTCTTAAGGATTCAGTACCACATCTTGTTATTGATAACTCTTTACCAGATAGCGTTTTGAAGAAGTTGTTTGACATAGCTTCTTCTGCACGGTCAAACATGTACTTATTTACGTGCAATTTCCTTCTTGAGCTGTTGCCCAGGATTTTGCCACCTGAATGGCAGCATGCTAAGCAGTTATCTTGGTTTCCTGAACAGCAAGGCCAGCCAAGCGTGGAATGGATGATATCACTTTGGAATTTCTTGCGTCATTCATGTGAAGATCTTTCAATATTTGCAAAATGGCCTATACTACCACTTGTAGATGGCAAGCTTATGCAACTTGGCAGTGCTTCAAATGTAATAAGAGATGATGGTTGGAGTGAAAATATGCACTCATTGCTTCAGAAACTGGGCTGTTTCTTTCTGAGACCTGATATGCAGATAGAGCACCCCCAGTTAGCTAATTTTGTTCAGGAATCCACTGCAGCTGGTGTTCTGAATGCTGTGCATTCTGTTGCTTCTAATGTCCAGGATATTAAGGAACTTTTCAAGAGTACTTCATTGGCAGAAACACATGAGCTCCGTAGTTATATTTTCCAGTCAAAGTGGTTTTCAGGGAATCAGATAAACATTTCACATATGAATACAATCAGGAACCTCCCCATATTTGAATCTTATAAATCTAGGGAGCTTGTTAGTTTGGCAAACCCTAGAAAATGGCTTAAACCCGACGGTGTACATGAGGATCTGTTGAATGGAAGCTTTATAAGAACTGAATCTGAAAAGGAAAAGTCGATTTTAGTATCATACTTTGATATCAGGGAACCTGAAAAGGCTGAATTTTACAAGGATCATGTGCTTCCTCGGATGTCAGAGTTTCTGTCACAGCCAGCTGTTGTTTCAGCAATTGTTCGTGATGTGAAGCTGTTGATAGAAGACAATAGTTCTGTGAGAGCAGCGTTGTCTGAAACCCCTTTTGTGTTAGCAGCTAGTGGAGCATGGCTACATCCTTCTAGGTATCTCTCTCTCTCTCTCTCTCTCTCTCTCTCTCTCTCTCTGATATTTGTGAATGTGTATTTGGGTTGGTAAACCTTATCTTCTTGACTTGTATGCTCCAGCAGCTTTTATTAGCATTTGCACTAGGATGAGGTTTCAATGACTTAAATATTGATGTTCATCTTTTCTTTTGTCCTTTGCTCTCTAGACTTCAGTATGAATAACACCTATTTTTCTTCAGGCTTTATGATCCTCGTGTGCCAGAGTTTCGTAAGTTGCTGCACAAAGAAACCTTCTTTCCTTCAGAAAAGTTCATGGCAACTGAAATAATTGAACTGTTGGCAAGTTTTGGACTGAAAAGAAAAATGGGTTTTAGTGCTTTGCTTGACATTGCAAGGTCAGTTTCACTGGTGCACAATTCGGGACAAGATGATGATGCATGTGCGCATGGGCAAATACTACTTACCTGTCTAAATGTTCTTGAATCAAAGATGTCAAACATGGAGGACAAGGACACTTTCCATGAGGAAGTTGATCTCGAAGCTTCTAAAACTGATGAAAATTTGGAAGCAGTAAATGAAGTGGGTAGTTGTGACCCAGACCCAACTATTATGTCTTTATTCTCAAACTTTGATCTTGACCTACCAGAGCATGAGTTTTGGTCAGAGCTGAAAAATATTTCTTGGTGTCCTGTCCATGTTGCACCACTTATTAAAGGTCTTCCATGGCTCGAATCAGAAGATCATGTAGCACCTCCAGTCATTACAAGGCCGAGGTCACAAATGTGGCTTGCTTCATCAAAAATGCGGATACTGAATTCCGATTCTTGTTCCATGTACCTGCAAAGAAAACTCGGTTGGTTAGACCCACCAAATGTGAATGTTTTATTGTCCCAGTTAGTTGAGCTTTCCAAGTCTTATGATGAACTCAAGATGTTTTCTGAAGACACATCCATCGATGCTGTCCTACAAAAGGAGATCAAACTAATCTACTCGGAATTGCAAGATATCGTTGACAGTGGCGATGCCCACATTCTGAAAGAGAATCTGGATGGGATTTCATGGGTCTATATAGGGGACAGGTTTGTGCCTCCACATGCACTTGCATTTGAATCGCCTGTAAAGTATCATCCTTATCTTTATGCAGTTCCGTCTGAACTGTCAGAATTTAAAAAGTTACTCTTCAAGTTGGGTGTGAGGCAGACATTTGATGCAACAGATTATCTCAATGTACTTAGTCGCTTACAAGGTGATGCCAAAGGAGAGCAATTGTCTGCAGAACAACTGAGTTTTGTTCATTGTGTTTTGGAAGCATTTGTGGATTGTTATCCTGACAGTCAAGCAGCTGATGCTTTACTGAATTCATTGGTGATTCCAGATTCATTTGGTGTCCTGACACCTTCGAGAAACCTTCTCTATAATGATGCACCCTGGATGGATACTGATCCCACTTCAAAGCATTTTGTGCATCATAGTATTGGTAATGATCTGGCCAATAGACTAGGGGTACGATCTCTTCGCGGATCTTCGTTATTGGATGATGAGCTAATGAGGGATTTGCCATGCATGGAATATGCTAAGATAAGTGAGTTGCTAGCTCTGTATGGTGAGAGTGACTTCCTTCTGTTTGATCTCATAGAGCTAGCTGACTCTTGCAATGCAAAAAAAGTGCACCTGATCTATGATAAAAGAGATCATCCGAAGCAGTCTCTATTGCAGCAAAATCTGGGTATGCTAGAGACCATCTCTCTACAATTATTTCAATCGCACTCTTCTTTATTCCTATAAACAGTCTGCTATCAGTAGTTATTATTCTGTTTGTCTCCTTTATCCTATGACTGCAAAGTTGATACCTAATATTTGACCCATTTAATGTGATGAATTTTTTGTTCCAAAAAATATCTTTAGGTGACCTCCAGGGTTCTTCATTGACAGTGGTCTTTGAAGGAACCATGATAAGCCGAGAAGAAGTTTGCAGCCTCCAACTTCCTCCTCCTTGGAAACTAAGGGGAAACATCCTTAACTACGGGTTGGGACTTCTTAGCAGCTATTTTGTATGTGATGCCTTGACTATTCTTTCTGCTGGCTATTTCTACGTTTTTGATCCGTTGGGCTTGACTGGTGGTGCAACTTCCACTGCAACCTCGTCTGCCAGATTCTTCTCTTTGATAGGTACAGTTGTTACTTCAGTTACATTCGCTGAATTCATTTATAGAATAATTTTCATGTTCTAGTCGGTTATGACTTGTTAGAGCATGCTCAAATGCCAAAGTAGGCTCTGAGCCAAGGGCTGAAAGAAATATGTTTCAGCATCTACACCAATTTCTTTCGGGCAGACAGGCCTGTTGAGGGCCAACACTTAATAACCTCATTTATCTGCTACTCCCTCCGTCACATAATATAAGAGCGTTTTTGACACTACACTACTGTAAAAAAACGCTCTTATGGAGTAAATGTTATTTTGGACCCATGTTGAAGCATGTACTATTCCATGTATGCTAGATTTTTTATGAGTATTTAGATTTTTTTATGAGGAATTGGACACTTTATTTATGCTATGGTTCATTAATTGAACTACTGGGTCACTGTTTTGCCAATTTTATGCATACGTGAATTCCAGTATTAGTTTATTGTTGTAGTATCAGCTCATGTTTTTTATACTTTGAATGAAGCCCTTAACGCTACTGGCTTTTCAGGAAATGACTTGGTTGAGAGATTTCGTGACCAGTTCCTCCCAATGCGTGTTACACAGGAGGCTTCATTGTCTTCTGCAAACTCTACGGTTATTCGGATGCCTTTATCTTCAAAATGTCTGAAAGAACTTGAAGCAGGTTGCGACAGAGTAAAGCAGATTTTTGATAGATTTACGCAGAATCCATCCAGTACTCTCCTGTCCCTGAAGTCAGTCATTCAGGTAAGGGTTATTTGTTGATGCTTTCACACTGAAGTAGTAAATCATAATACTTTCTGTACATTCAGTTTAGTCTTTCTGCTGCAAAGTGTTACGGCTTGTGTGTTTCTTCACTCATAATTTGTTACTCTGCTACTGAATTTCATATCCTGTGACCACATTGATGTATTTTAAACTGCAAAGAAGACACTTTCATTTGCATCTGAATTTCATTTCCAGTGATCACATTGATGTTGTACTTTAAACTGCAAATGACGTATTTAGCTCAAGTACGCCCCTAGATTATATTTCAAACTGAACATGTTAGCTCTTCCTTTATCTTATCTTACCCTATTGTTGTTTTGTAGTATTCTTCTTCTATTATTTTTAATGTTCTTGATTATCCAGGACCACAATTCTATTTTAATTTAACTGGTTGAGCATGTATTGAAGAGAAACTGGATATTACTGAGTAATTCTTTCTCTTGTTGCATATCTTTAGTTGTAGCAGGATAATAATATGCTGAAAAATGAAAACTGACCACATTACCTTAGCAATACGATTTCCTTTGACTTGCCTAAATGCTTTGTTTTCTTAAAAGATATTCAGTATGCGCAATTGCTTTTTAGTTTAGTAGATTTGTTTAGTGTTTAATGTGAACATGTTATAGAACTGTATCAGATGGTGATATTTCTTATGAAAACACCAAATGTATATATTATGGCAGAATGCCAGAGAACTTCCAATCTTTGTTGGTCTTTTGGATGTAGACTTTTTTTTACCTGTTGGATGTAGACTAATTGATCAAATAGTATTTGATACAGTTACTTTTTGTATAACTTTGTATAAGGACAGTAATTATTTTATAGCCATCCTGTACTGTATTTTAATCGATAGTACTCAAAACTGAAACAGTTCTGCTGCACCTACTTGATAGTGATTTCAATATCGAGTGCTGGCTGTACTAAACCATAGTTACAATAGAGTACATGCCATCTATTCAGACATAGTAATGATAAAGCCCTAGTGGATGATTTGACAGCATGATTTATAGAATTAAAACATGATCTGCATTTATTAAGTGATGTCAATGTGTTTTGAATCAGGTATCTTTATCAACATGGGAGGATGCAGCCTCTCAGCCAACCCTGAACTATTCCGTGCTTGTTGACCCATCAGTAGCTACTTTGAGGAACCCATTTTCAGAAAAGAAATGGAGAAAGTTTCAAATATCCAGAATATTTGCAAGTACAAGTGCAGCAATCAAAATGCAAGCTATAGATGTGCATGTGATTGAGAGTGGCTGCAGTTATATTGACAAATGGTTTGTTGCCCTCTGCCTTGGGTCAGGGCAAACAAGGAATATGGCTCTTGACAGGTTTGTCTCTTTCAGATCATACTGTAGTTGAGAACCTTTTATACACTAAAATGCCACTCACTTTACCTACTGACTAATTCCCAAGATTCTTCTATGGATGTTATTAAATGTCTATGCTAATGTAAACATCTTTGGCGTACATTGATTTATTTCTGTTTCAGACGGTATCTTCCCTACAACTTAACTCCTGTTGCTGGAGTAGCAGCTCACATAGCTCGAAACGGAGTACCAACCAATATAAATGCATCCAGTTGTATATTATCTCCTTTGCCGCTATCTGGGTCAATAAGCATGCCAGTCACGACTCTAGGTCATTTCCTTGTGAGGCATGATGGTGGACGCTACATTTTTGGCAGCACACATGATAAATCTTTACGGGAAATGGACAGAAACAAATTGGTTGAAGCATGGAATGAGGAACTTATGCTATGTGTGCGTGATTCATATGTTGAGATGGTCCTAGAATTTCAAAAGCTTAGGAAAGACCCTCTATCTTCTGCTATTGAATCACGGTGTGCACACTCTGTGAGTATCATTTTACAGGCTTATGGTGATAGGGTATACTCTTTTTGGCCAAGATCGAAACAACCTACAGCTTCACTCACTGGGCAAGGTTCTACCGTAGACAATTTGAATTCACCAAGAACATCTAAAGCAGATTGGCAGTCCTTGATAGAGCAAGTGATAAGACCATTCTATTTACGGTTGGCTGATCTTCCCGTTTGGCAACTTTACCGGGGAAATCTTGTTAAAGTGGGTGAGGGTATGTTCTTATCCCACTCAGGGAGCGGAGATGATGATAACCTACCATCTGCTACTGTCTGTAGTTTCATTAAAGAGCACTATCCTGTTTTTTCTGTTCCATGGGAGTTGGTTAGTGAAATCCAAGCAGTTGGAGTTACTGTAAGAGAGATCAGGCCCAAGATGGTTAGAAATCTACTAAAAGAGTCTTCATCCATTTTACTTCGATCTGTTGAAACATATATAGATGTTCTTGAATATTGCTTCTCCGATATGGACCCATACCGGTTTACAGATCTACATATACCTGATCAGTCACAACTTAACAGTCAACTTGTTCAACCAGTGAATGCTTCCACATCACAATTTATGCCATCTTCAAGCAGTTCTTCATCTTACCATACAAGTACACAGAGGCCGGGTACTTCTGGGGGCGACGCACTTGAAATTATGACATACTTCGGGAAGGCCCTATATGACTTCGGTCGGGGGGTTGTCGAGGATATCAGCAAGACCAGTGGCCCAGCATCCCATAGGGCCCAAGCTGCTGAGAATAATGTGTTGTCATCTATCATATCTGAACTCAAGGGTGTCCCATTTCCGACGTCAACAAAATGTCTAACAAGGCTGGGAGCTACCGAACTTTGGATTGCCAATGAGGAGCAGCAAATATTGATGCGCCCCTTGCTAGATCGCTTTATCCATCATCAGTGTTTAGAAAAGCCTTTCTTGGCACTGCTGCTCTCCACTCAGGTTATTCATGTGCCTCTGAAATTGAGGAGTTTTTCTCCTCACTTATTATCAGGCCATTTGAAGCACATATTTGATGAGCGTTGGGTACGTGCAGTTGAGAGGAAGCCACAATGGGTTCCTTGGGACAGTGGTTCTGATTCATCAACCACTGGGCCAACTCCCAAATGGATTAGAAGCTTCTGGAAAATATTTAGCTCCTTGAATGGTGACCTTTCACTTGTGTCTGATTGGCCCTTGATTCCTGCTTTTCTCAACAGGCCAATTCTCTGCTGTGTGAAAGAACGCCATCTAATATTTGTACCTCCAGTGGATGATTCAAACACTCAGATGGTACATGTTAGTGCGGTTGTTGATGATGTAGCTAGTGAGGTTGATACATCTGGTCTAAACGGAGATGACACTGGTGAAGCTGAACAGAAGAGTCCACTTGATACTGCATTCGAGTCAATGAACTCAAAGTTTCCGTGGTTATCTGCTCTGCTTAATCAGTTGAACATACCAATTCTTGATTTGTCTTTCCCAGAGTGTGGTGTCATATGCAATTTGTTTCCTTCACGTGATCGAACTCTTGGGCAGACGATTGCTTCTAAGTTAGTTTCAATAAAAAATGATGCTCATTTACCTTCATCACTTAGTCTATCAAGTGAAGATTGTGATAGACTGTTCATGCTATTTGTCTCAGACTTCAGATTATCTAGCAGCCACCTTTATCAGAGAGAAGAATTGGATGCCTTGAGAGAGCTTCCGATGTATAAAACAGTTACAGGAGCATACACTAGTCTGTCAGGGTCTGATCATTGCATTATTTCCCCCACAGCATTCTTTCACCCCAGTGATTCCCGGTGTTTTTCTAGCTCAGATAATGCAAATTTGTTTCTTCAGGCTTTGGGGGTTGAACAATTAAATGATCAAGAAATACTAGTGAGGTTTGCTTTGCCTGGCTTTGGGAACAAAACAGTTCAAGAGCAGGAAGACATTTTAGCTTACTTGTATGCTAACTGGAAAGATCTGCAACTTAATTCAGCTGTAGTAAATACCTTGAGGGAGACTAATTTTGTGACAAATGCAAATGAGTTTTGTACAGAGCTGTTCAAACCAAAGGAACTGCTTGACCCTTCAGATGCTTTGCTGGCTTCAGTATTTTCTGGGGAGAGAAATAAGTTCCCTGGCGAAAGGTTCATGTCAGATGGTTGGCTTGGTATACTCAGAAAAGTGGGTCTTCGGATATCTACAGAGGCTGATATGATAGTACAGTGTGCTACGAAAATAGAAACAATGGGAAATGATGTGATGTCATCTTTAGAGAAACATGATGACTTTGATGCAGACTTGCCAGACAGAAAAAATGAAATTCCTTTTGAGTTATGGTCATTGGCAGAATCTGTTGTAAATGTGATTTTGGCAAATTTTGCTACTTTGTACGATAGCAGTTTTTGCCAAAAGATTGGAAAAATTGTATTTGTACCTGCAGAAAAAGGCTTTCCAAGTATTGGTGGCAAGAAAGGGGGCAGAAGGGTATTTGCATCTTATAGTGAAGCTATCTTATTAAAGGACTGGCCATTGGCATGGAGTTCTGCTCCAATTCTTGCCAAACAATCAATTATTCCACCTGATTTTTCTTGGGGAGCATTTCAGCTTCGGAGTCCCCCTGCCTTCTCTACAGTTCTAAAGCACTTGCAGGTCAATGTTGTAAAATACTTGCAGTTTAATATTGAAATGATTTCTTCACTTACCTTTTTGTGAAATTAAACAGACTGTTGGGAGAGGCAATGGTGAGGACACACTGGCACACTGGCCATCTTCATCAGGGATAATGACAGTAGAGGATGCCTTTCTCAGGATCTTGCAGTACTTGGAGAAAGTATGGGGAACAATATCGTCTTCAGGTAGCACAAAATACGCAACTAAGCTTTTACCTTACTGTATATGCCATAATTTTTTGCCATTTGTAGTAATATCGTTAGTTCATCACCTTTGTACTCTCTTCAGTTCCAATTACTTGTGGTGAAGTTTGTTCTCTCATTTTTTTACTACAAGACACCTAATGATATACTTGGTGTTGCAACCAGTCCCAATTCTATTCGGTGAGGTTTCATATTTGAGTGCAATCATGCAAATTTTCATGTGGCCCGTAAGGAGGATGAAGCCCTGAAAAGTGAAGACAATATATCCAGATTAAATTGCACTTGAAATGGTCATGCGAGTCTCCTAAATATCTAGATTTGATCTAATAAATTTCCTTTTTCACGTATAACTTTTTGAGGCCAGTAGATGCTCCATATTTCAAAAAGGGTAAAACCTGTGGCGAACTATTCATAATCGGTTGTTCTCTGCATCAACTCAATGTCTTCATTTATTTCAGCCTGGAAACATTTTCTTGCTTGAGTGAGATTTATTTCTTGCTGATATTGTAAATAAATGAACAGTTATTACCATGGTCATGTGTGATTTTGACATTTTGCCAGTGTGCTTATCCATGTTGCTTGATTGCGGTAGTAAGAAGTCATAACTGATAAACCATAAAGCCAATACAGCTACTAATGAACTTACTAAGACATGCCCTTGAGGTTGTATTTATACATATGTACAAGCTTTTGTTTGCTATGGTATATAGAGAACCACAGAAGGGAAGGTGCAGTGAGTTTTTGTTGCTTTTTGAAAAGAGATCCGCTATTACTTTAAACTGATTGTTTTTATTGCTTGATTTTCTTCAGGAAAAACAGAATTGATGGAACTGGCATTTATACCAGTTGCAAATGGTACTCGCTTAATAGAAGCGAAATCACTTTTTGCTCGTCTGACTATCAACATGTCACCTTTTGCTTTTGAACTTCCAAGTCTGTATCTTCCATCTGTTGCCATTCTTAGAGAAATTGGGATGCAGGAAAGCCTTACAAACTCTTATGCAAAGGAGCTTCTTTTAGATATCCAAAAAGCATGTGGTTACCAGCGCCTGAACCCAAACGAACTCCGTGCAGTGATGGAAATCTTGGACTACATGTGTTCAGGAGTCAACCAGCCTATCTCAGACGGATCAGAAGGGCTTTTTGATTCTGTAATACCAGATGATGGCTGCAGGCTTGTCTCAGCTACATCATGTGTGTATATTGACCCATATGGTTCTCATTTGCTGAGTAATATAAATACATCCAGGATAAGATTTGCTCACCCAGATCTTCCTCAGAACATTTGCAAGGCCTTGGGCATAAAAAGACTCTCCGATGTCATTGTAGAGGTATACTTCTCTAACATGATCTGACATTTCTTTGCCAAATAAATGATTTTGCGGAAGCAATCTTAAGTGGTTTCTATTTCAAATTAACTTAAATTTTGCCTTGTCAGGAACTTGATGGGAAAGAAGAGCTTGAGGTTCTGGACAACATTTGCTCAGTTACTCTGGATAGAATAAAAGAGAAACTGCTCAGTAAATCTTTGCATGCTGCATTAAGGGTTGTGATGATCGGTATAACCAATCATTTCCCTTCTTTTGAAGCCCTCAGTATAGTGCAAATAGAAAGTATACTGAAGGATATATCACAGAATCTGCAGTTTGTTGAACATGTCCATACTCGCTTCCTGTTGCTTCCCAATCTCCAAGATGTTACGAGAACAGCTCAGCATCCTTCTCTTCCTGAGTGGTCAAGCAGCGGAAAGCACCGAAGCATTTATTTTGCTGATAAATCCATGGGTCATATTCTAATTGCAGTGCCCCCGAGTTTTTTGACAGTACATGATGTTATTGCAATTGTCGTCAGTCACAGATTAGGGGCACCAGTAATCTTGCCAATTGCTTCGGTATTTGCATGCCCGGATGGTTCAGAGAAAGAAGTGCTTCAAATACTCCATCTTGGCACTGACGTTGGAGTTTCGAAACGCGAAGGAAGGTACGACTGTTCCCTGGGAGCAGAGTTATTGTCACAAGATGCTCGCCAGGTCCAATTCCTTCCCTTGAGACCATTCTACAGCGGAGAGATTGTGGCATGGAAGACAGGAAAAGAGGGGGAAAAGCTCAGGTATGGTAGGGTTCCTGAAGACGTAAGGCCATCAGCTGGCCAAGCACTTTACAGGTTTCCCGTGGAGACAGCCCCCGGCGAGACTCGCATGCTACTCTCCAGTCAGGTTTACTCGTTTAAGAGTGTTTCAACGGCTGACCTCTCTTCTGCACCTTCCCAACCGGATGTTGGTAGAGTGGCAGACGTTGGACAACCGGGCCACTCGTCCGTCAGCTCTAGAACTGAAGGCGCAGACAATACGGTTAGTTTTCGTTTTTTTTTGGGTGCAGTCTCTACTCTTTGGAAGCTGGATTGTTTGCCATAAAATAGTTTTACTGTTTTACAGGCTGCTGGGCTTGAATACGGCAAAGTATCTTCGATGGAGCTGGTTCAAGCAGTCCATGATATGCTTTCAGCTGCAGGGGTAAGGATGGATGCTGAGAAGGAAACACTGCTACAGACTACTCTTTCCTTGCAAGACCAGCTTAAAGAATCTCAAGTGGCTCTCTTGGTGGAGCAGGTTTGTCACTTCTATGTCTTTTATGTTGTCTTAAGAGCAGTTCCTATTGGTAGTATCGGTCAGTCACTTGTCGATTAAGACACATGCTGCGTGCTCATATATCATGTCTTAGGCGATTTTCACCAGGATCTGTACTTCTGTAGATGTTTTCATAGGGGTTTCGATGCACTGACCGGAGAAATTACGTAGTTAGTTGCACAATGTAAGCTACCTAGTTAGCATTGCAGAATCACCACTCTTCTGAATTCTGACTTAAAGCGCTTCTCAAAACATGCTTGCCTATATGACACTGAGTTGTTTATACACTACTAATGTAGGAAAAAGCCGAGTCGGCGGTGAAAGAAGCCGACATTGCCAAGGCGGCATGGTCGTGCCGCGTCTGCCTGAACAACGAGGTCAACATGACCATTGTACCGTGTGGCCACGTCCTGTGCAACAGGTGCTCGAGCTCGGTGTCGCGATGCCCGTTTTGCCGGACCCAGGTGTCCAAAATGATGAAGATATTCAGGCCATGAAGACACCGAGGTGCACCTGCTCGATGCTGTTCGGATCTCGCATTCTTTGCTCGACGAGCGAGCGTGTGTAAATATGAGCGTGCGTAAATATGAGCCACAGCGCATTTTTAGCTTAGTTTAGACTTGCTGCAAAGTCCTTTTTGTCACTTCAACAGTTCAACAGAGGTGCACGAAAGCTTGTAGAAATACGGATGCGAGGTGCCTAACATTTTCAGGTTTTCTTCAGACTCGTTCGTCGTCTAGCTGCTCAAAGCGTTTGATTTCAACCTCCAACTAACTCATGGAAACCTCGTTTTCTTGCTGACGAAATCACGCAGCTCTCACCCCATCGGGTTTATATCAATTTGGCTACAGAAGAGTCCTAGTACCTTATTTCTGGCGCCTAGCCACGCTCGCTGGTCCAAAATATCAGAGCCCAGCCGCCGTACGTGCGTGGGCACAGGGGTAAAAAGGCAAAGCAAAAAAAGCTCCCAAGGAGCAGCGAGAAAAAATCTTGCTCACTAGACACGACGTTTGGTGATCGAGTCGCTCAAGCTTCTCCCACCAGTCGGGGGGCAGAGGCAGAGTAGCAAATCCAATCAAGCGAAGCAGAGCAGCCATGCTCCCGCTTCTCCTCAACACCGTCGCCCCCCTCAGCCGCCCTCGCCAACCCCAGGCCGTCCTCCAGCTCAAGGTCCTCCCACCAGTGTCTCATATGCCGAGCTGCTACCTCCTTCAGCACCACCGGCAGTTCCTCCTCGTCGCCGCGCTCTAGCGAGGAGGGCGCGCGGGGGTCGTCGTGGGCGACGAACTACGATCTATACGAGCTGCTGTGGTGGAGCAACAACATGTCGCGGAACTATTAGTGATTCAATTTGTGGTAAACAGAAAGATTTACATAATGATACTAGCTTGTTATTGGAAAGCAACAACATGCACCGATACGTAGCAACATACTCATCTAGTACAAAGTTGAGTCATCTATTTTGGAACGGAGGGAGTACATCAGAAAATAAATATTAAATGATTCATCCACGCTTAAAGTCCACCCAGACCGTGAATGTATTTTTTGTGTTGATAATGGTATGATTAGTGAGAGTAATGTCGGTTATCAAGTTTATCTCAGAACAATGGTCTCTTGGAGAAACATTATGGAAATGGTTGACCACATTACAAAAAGGGGGAAAAGGTCAAATTTTTGAAGGCTCAAATGTCTTTTGATTTTATTTGAGTCGTAGGAAAACCATACTATAAAGAGCGTCGAGGAGATTGCACAAATTTTGAAAAAGTCCTTGGAATCTCTGATCCCGGAGTAGAGGTTTTCCTTTTTGTATAGGCTGGGTCCCAGGGTCCCCGGCCCCTGGGTCCCCGGGGTTAAGAGTTTCCTTTGGGGTGACTGCAGGTCGACCCTTTAGCTCAGGTCCCCAAGGTGTGCTGGTTGGTAACAACTAGAACGAAGCGAGGAGACATTTATACCCACCCTTCTTATTCCTCCAACCCTAATCTTCTTCTTGAACTTTCTCCACCGCTGCCAAATCCTAAAAGCTTGATTCCTCCACTCAAACTCCACCAAACTTTGAGGATTGAAAGGGAATCACCCGATCTACACTTTGACCAAACCGATTTGTGATCCCCATAGTTGTTCATCACCAAATCTGTCACTCTTGGATACCCAGGACTCCTAGGCGGTAGGAGTCATGCACGGATGCTTCCTTGCGTGTGGTGTGCTCCAGGAAGTTTGTAAAGGTCTAGTGGCCGCCTTCAAGATCAACCGCAAGTGATTTGAGACTCATCCGGGCAGTGACTCAAAAGGAAGAAAAGGATGAGCCACTTGGTGGTGCTTGGGAGCTTTGGCTTTTGCACCTCTTCAACTTAGATTACCACTCCCCAAATAGTGCGAACTTTGGGATACATGCACGTCTCCAACTTGTATGGTTAATTCGTTTTCATACCTTTACTTGTTGTGCTTCCTAGCTAGATTGTTGCTATTGCTTGCCATATAGGTTGTTGTCGCAGTAGATTGCATATCCACACTATCCCTAAAATTGGAAGTTAAGATAAAAGTTTGTAGTCTCCTATTCACCCCCTCTAGTCAACATCTTCGATCCTTTCACATGTTCTTATCTACGATGCCACAAGGGAGGGTAAGCTTGGGAAATCACAGTTCTATTTTTTTTATCACTGCCAAAGGTCATTTCACGAAAGTAAAATAAAAAGGCAATAAAACATTCAAACAAAAAAAATTCAGAGGTTGTTCTAGAATCATCATAGACCCCCCAGGCCCCTTTGTTGTGCACGCCATGCTAATGATATCCGTGATAATCTTGATTCAACCACGTTGCTACGACAACTAACACAAGTGCATCGACCATTTGTGATGGGTCTAATTAGTATGAATTTCTTGAGTCTCAGTGTGTTGCACAGAACAAAATATAAATAAATTTGATCAAAAATAATGAAATGAAGTTGGCTAGATTAATATATTGTTAGGATTGTTGGGTCATCTAGATCACCAGTTTCACCAACAACCATTGTCGGTTTATCACCGAACCGTGTAAGTAGTGAAGGTTTGACAAAGGATCTTAGAATGTCTAGGGTTGGGCCAGGAGGGTCTCTTAACGCCTTCCTATAAGTCACGTTTGACCATGAAAAACAAGTAAATAATTATGTCAATGGTTCAATTTATACTCTAGAAGTTTCTACACATTTACTTTACCTAATCAAACATTACAAAATGCTGTAATATATCTATTAGATCATACCATTTAGAGATCTTACCAAGATATTTAGGGATATTAAAAAAGCACACACAAATACATACATATACAATATGCAATTTATGCAGCTGTAAAACATTGATTCAATAAGCCATGCCTTTTTTGTATTATATTTTTTGTCACAAAAAAGGAGTAAACTAGCATAAAGTTTTTTCTCAAAATAAAATTTAATTTAGCATAGTGTAAGTGTAATTTTTAATAACACACATTACATTTGTATAATAAATAATATTATACTCCCACCGATCCATATTACTTCTCGCTGGTTTAGTGCAAAGTTGTGTTGTTAATATTACATTTGTTGTGTTGTCACGAAAAAGGATCCATATTACATTTTTTTACTAACTTTGGACTAAACCAGCGACAAGTATTATGGACCGGAGGGTGTACTAATATTTAGGGAGCGCTCTTAGGAAAAACCAAAGACTTCAAAATATTTTTTTGTGTTTCTCTGAATTCTTCTTTTGCTCTAGAAAATATTTTGAAATGACTAAAAAGAATTTCTCTCGCTTCTCTTCCGTTTCTTTTATTTGCTTCTTTTGATTCTTCTTCTTTGTTTCTTTTTTCTTTGTCTCTTATTGAGTCTTGTTTAAAAGGAGAAGATAACAAAAAGAATTCCAGTTGGCTCTTATGTGCTTTATCTGAACTGATAAGAAGATCCAAAATTATATATATGTCTTCTCCCTTGCGTACAGTTATTTGCGGATTTCAGCTTAGTCCACAACGACGCTTGCACTATGTTATTTATTTTCCACATCATTTGATCATGTAAGTGAAAGGCAATAATGACGATAATTTGGTGAAGTGGTCGTGGTAAAGAAAGTTGGTATGAGCTCAGCTTGTTTTTATTTTGTACAAACATTTGTCCTAGTGATTTAGTTATAGCCAAGGTTGGAAAAAATGCTAGGCGTAAATGAGACGGTTGGCCATAAGTGTGGCCTAGACAGCTATGCAGTTTTGACTACCAGGGCATATTTTGTGAATTATATGTTCAAAGGAATGCATTCTTTTAATATGTAATGAGTAAACTATATCAGTTGGAATATGGCCCATTTCACCCATCAATGCAATATGGCATGATTTTTTGTTGGAATGAATAATTCCAAGCTTGTACTGCCTGGACTACTGCTTATGTCCTAGGCGAGGCATTTGGCCATCGCCTAGCGACTAAGCATGCCTAAGCGCCTCCTAGGGACTGCCTTTTCCAACAGAGGTTATAGCACAATAAGGATAAACTTGTGTATGATGATAAGTAGTGGTTGTGTTTTCTTATGCCGGTCTTAATTAGCTAGGAGTGCATAATATGTTATCTTGAATGTCAACATGAGTTAAATTGGTCATAATGTAGTATGTTAGAGTGGTATCCTCCTCTGAAGAATTCAAGTGGCCTGCCTGGTACATGTTCATGCATGTAACTGATTCAAATACAATCTCGCCTCGATGAAGTTTAAGTTCAGCGTGTCTATATTCTCCTCATGCTACTATTTAATGTTGATTATTCAAAATGCATGATTATGACCATTGTCGCTCTCTAGTTGGTCACTTCCCTGTCTATTGCTAGCACTACAG